TTCGCGCGCTCAGGGACATCGTATCTCGAAAGGACCCTTGCACAACACTTTATTCAATACGTTTTATTCACTTCACTCAGTTCTTATTCACTTTATTCACTTTATTCACATTGTTCGCAATACTGACGAATTTACTAACGATAATAATTTCTAAATTGTATTAAAACACGATGCGCGTCGAACTGTCAAAGCAGTCGTGCCATTGACAAATGACGTTTCTCATGTCATGAGAGAAAATCAATACTATCGGAACGAAGTATGATCTGCTACATGAAATGTCGGTAAGAAAAGAACTAATTTTTTTTTTAAAAAAAAAGTTTTTTGTTTATTTATTAACACATATCAACAATAAAAAATAATGAAATAACAACAATAAAAAATAATAACAATGAAATAAGAACAAGATATAACATTATCGTTATCCGGAACGTAAAATGATTAGTTACAACATAATTTTGCGACTGCCATGTATGTATTTTAAAATATTTTAATCATTTTTAAGATTTTTATATTATTTTATAATATATTTTTTTATTTTTTTTTCGATCTACTCTATACTTATGCCTATATTAAATAAATAAATGTCTTCATGCGTGATTATTTAAAATTCCTACATGTTTTCTGCCACGGAAATCTTACGTGTCGTCGGCCAGCAGTCGCAACGTTGCCACGTCTTGGTAGCATGTAACGTCTAATTTTCTGTGTTTTGAACTTTAAAACGCAATATTTTGGAAACCGTGAAGCTAAGCTTCCTGAAATTCAACTATAGTATAGTGACTACAATTCTTAATAACATATTAGTTTTTAAAAATTTTCCTAAATTTTGTTTCGACGCTATTGTTTAAAATATGCCTTTCACAACGATCCCTCCATAAGATTCAATATTAAAACTCACAACTTTGAGAATTTATATCTCGATTTCGGTGAAGCTGAGTCCTCTAAAATTTTGACATGTTGTACATAATAATGTTATTTATACATGGTAATTTTTTCAAAATATTCTTAAATTGTTGAAAAATTGCGATAACCCCCTTAAATTGTCATCTGTTTCTTTACGTGTTAGGGATTTGTGTCTAGTGTCTTTTTAAGGTTGTCAAAATTTTATTGATACACTTTCTTGGATAAAATTACAAAATATTCGCCAATCAGATTTAATCACTTCCTAAGCGCCGATTCTGCTGAATGTGACGTATGTCGCGAACGTAGAAATAAGCCTGACAACTTAACTTCTCACAGTTGTTTATATGTTGTGTTCTCATATTTTATTACATTGCATTGCATATTATTCCGACTTGCGGAAAAGTTTCTGATATTTACCATCCTTTTATTTTTCACTACGTTCTATATCTCATAGTACGGTAATGGAGATGATAATAATAGAATATAACATCGAGTTATTTCAATATTGTTTGTCATTACAGTTGTCTACATGATTCATAGTAAAAGTGCAGGTTTCGCTTTTCATTGAGATATCGTTGGGATATCTATTATGGAAAACAAAAGTAGCAACAATTTTATCAGTTATGTCGGACTGGAAGAGCACGAAATGCAGGTAATTATAACTGCATTCATCTATATGTAAATATTCCGACTTACAATTAATCATTATTATATACCCCCGCTTCCTTGTATTTCGTAATTTACAAAATTAAGAAAAATATTAAGACAGTTTTAAATCAACGTCATTTTTTATCTTCTTTTTTTTTTGTAGACATTTAATTCCAGTCGACGTAATTCATTAATCGAAAATAGTATAAAACTATTGCCAGGAGAAGTTCTTATCGCTGAAGCGCAAAGTGTCCTTATGTTTTCACCTGTTAGTGACCTGAAACAAGGCATCTCTGGTGTTCTGTCAGTGACTAATTTTAAACTTACTTTTATTACAAGTGATGATTCAAATGGAGAGGTAACAATTATTAATTTCATTATTAAAGAACGTATATTGAGATGAGAAAGTATGAGTTATGATTGATAAAGTATTATAAAATCTTTGTTATAGGATATTATTCATCAACAAAATCATCTCTATGGATATACAGATACATGTTTAACAAATATTGATGAGATTTACATAATAGTGGGTGATAAGAAAAGAAAGCTGGTTCCTGGTAACACCGTACCTTCAAAAGTAAAAGGGATATTTATCATTTGCAAAGTAAGTTTTTTTATGATATGTGAAAGTGCACAAGTAATGTAAATTAGCTCTCTTCGATATTAACATTGATCAAAGAATATAAAAAACTCATATAAAAACTCAGTTCTCTCATTAAGGGGTATTAAAGTTAACTATCTACTGTTCTAAATTAGATTATTTTTTTTATATATGAGAATTGTTTGTGAGTGTAATGGATTGTTATGTATTATATTATAAATTACAGAACCTAAGGACATGGTCTTTTTCTTTTAAATTTTCACCTTTAGGACATGGTAAGAATCTTTTGACTGCACTGCTACATCATGCTTTTCCTAGCCGACATCAGTTATTATTTGCCTATGATTACAAGTTAGTATTATATATAAATCTTGGATTCAATTTTATTAAAAGTGGAATATAAGATTATAAAAAAGTATCCTGATAATGAAATATAACATCAATTTTTATGTTATCAGGGAGGCTTATTACAGTAGTCTTGACAAAAATGTCCTACTATTTCGAGATATTTTAGATTGGCAAAATGAATTAAAAAGGACGTTGTGCAGTGATGAAATAAGGAAAAGTTGGAGGTTATCAACAATTAATGCCAAATTTCAGCTTTGCTCTAGGTAGTTTGCTTACCAAACTTATCTACAGATTTATAAATATTTGCTACAAAGAAAAATTTTATTATTGTTTATTTATTTTTTTTTTTCAGTTTATCGCAATTTATAATTGTACCTGCATCTGTGACCGATAGTCAGTTGACAGATGCGGCTAGACATTTTCAAGGTAATAGACCGCCAGTATGGTCTTGGACAAACACGTATGGTGCAGCATTAGTAAAAATGTCTGAATTGTTACCAACGATTGCAGAGAGAATGCAGGAAAATATTATGTTTGAAAATGTTCGTAAGAGTCATCCTCAAAAGATGCCTCCAGTTGTTATTGAATTGAATAAAGATATTAATGTAAAATTGATAGCAGCAAGTTTTACTAAATTCATTAGTTTATGTTCACCAGGTAAATCTTGAATTGTACTGTATGCTGTATCTCGACTGCATACACAAAGTATCTTTTATTTACAAATGTATATATGTATTTCAGAAAATATTAGACAATTTTGGATACAAGATAATAACTTTTATTCATTGTTAGAAAGTACAAAATGGCTGAAATATATATCGTATTGTTTACAAAAGACAGTTGAAGTCTGTGACCGGCTTAATTCAGGGATTTCAGTCATTTTACAAGGTAGGTTTTAGATAACTATCAAGTGCAATTAATGTAAATATTTTTTTTAATAATATTAAATATAAAATACGAATATTTATATATGTATCATATGGAACAAAAAAAGCTGATAATTTATCAAGCAATGATGGAATATAAGATCTATATAAAGGAAAATCATTTTTAGAAAGTGCTGGCAGAGATTTGTGCTGTGTTATATCAAGTTTAGCACAATTGTTACTGGATCCTCACTTTCGTACTGTAACTGGTTTTCAGTCATTATTGCAAAAAGAATGGGTTGCTGGAGGCCATCCATTTTGCGATAGATTAGGCCACATTGTAAAAACTAGTTCAGAAAAGGTATGTGTTGTATTTAATTTACTTTATAAATGTTTAAAACAATTTGTTAATCGGCAAATAATTTTTATTTTACTTACATAGTCTCCGTTATTTCTCTTGTATCTTGATTGCGTTTGGCAATTATGTCAACAATATCCAACGGAATTTGAATTCACGGAAACATACTTGACTACATTATGGGACACTGCTCACGTTTCCATTTTTGACACCTTTATCTTTAATTGTGAAAGAGATCGGGCTGTGGCAGCTATGGTATTTATAAAATATTTTCTCAAATTTACTTCTTTGATTATTTATTATGTCGAAAGTGTTAAGTTGGCAACTTTTCGCAATAACGAATCATCTGACATATTTCATTTTTTAGGATCCTAACACGCCTCTCGTGCTTCGTAGTGTTTGGGATTGGCGAGAACAATTCAATGATCAAGATATTTTGTTATTTTATAATCCTTTGTTTATTCCCCGTAATATCGGTAAGACAGAAAACAGGACAATTCTAAAACCTTTACACACTATCTCCAGTTTGGAGCTTTGGACGCAATGCTACTTTCGTTGGATACCGGCACTCGAAATTCATAACGGTGGACAAAGGCATGTTGAACTTTACATTAGATTGCTCCAAAACGACGTAAATCAACTTAAAATAAATATCAATGACAATCGTAGCGTATCCCTGGAGAAGGTCGGTATTTTTTCTCTTCACACAAATATCGACAGTTTTTATCCTTTTAGTAACAAAAGATCAGGAAATACCGTTAGCACTCCTATCATGAACAGTTCAATACATCTAACAGAGAGCTTATTAGATGCACAGTCGTTAATAACCGCAAACGACTGATAAGATGCTTTTTCAATACAGTTCAAAATGTACCTGATTATACCACACGTATCCTTTTCTAATCTGTCAATTCATGAGATAAAATATCATAGTAACTTATTTTTAAATTAAAGTTTTGTTAAATCAGTAACAATGCTTAAAATGGCACAAAAAATTATCTTAAAGATTGCTGGTTGATACTTTTACTAGTTGTTATAATATCGATAAACCAAGAGAAAAACACCACAGATATTAAAATTTATTAATGGTTTTTCGATAATTTGCATAAATTACAATTAACGAGTTGTAAATTCAATTAACGAATTAAAATATTTTAAAATATATGAAGCTTGTTGCATCATTCAGAGCAGCTGCAGCATTTTCATGCAAAGCAATGAAAATATTTGTATATTTTTATGTTAAATTTCATATATTCTTACATACTCTTACGATAGCGGAAACGTAACGAAATTAATTAAGTCAAGTAATTTTAAGGAACAATTAGAGAACATATATTTGTATATAAATGTCGATGTGAGTAAAAATAGATAATCTTAATACTTTTTAGTACTGACATTTATACCGTTACAAACCGTTAAATAAAATTTACAGTTGAACAACAAATTTTTCATTGAATACTTCCTAATTTGATATAATTTTATATATTTTGTATACATACATGCACACACACCTTTATGTTAAAATAGATTATTATTGTTTCGCTATTAATTTTCTTTTTATTTGTATTGTATAATCTAGATGTATATATTTAGATATAATTTTACTTTTTAAATTACAACATATCCAAACATCTAAACATTCATCTAAAAATATTGCAATTTAAAAAATTTTACTAATAAAGTATCCTTTTTTAAATTTGTGTATTTTTTTTATGGAATGTATAGCTCTAAAAGTAATTTTTATTTTTACAAAAAAATCAAATATATCTAGTTTAAAAGTTTTTTTATTCCTTTTTCTTTGTAACATCATTTAAGTATTAATTTTTATCTCAATTTACATAATACTTTCTCGCTATTTCAAAACATGATTCGCACGTAATAATAGACATGCAATTTGGGCGAATTTTCATAAATTGCTTTTTAGGGACTTTTGAAGTAAAACTCACTATCTGTCTTCTTGAATTTGCATCATTTTCATACGTCCATTTCTACCGAGGAAACTAATGTCTATGCACTGCAGCCAATAAGAAGGCGAAAAAGAGCATATCGATTTCCAAAGCAAACATTTTCAAGCATGTCTTAAGGATGGGACAAAATGGTGATGAATTTTCAGCTTGTTTAAGCATACCCTGAATTTCACATTCACAGTGATAACATTGTTCCAGGAACAGTCGCATTTTATGAATCGTCTCCTACGAAGCAGACGTCCAAATTGTCCGCAACAGTTGTGAAAAGTATAACGATATTCCGGCGTTATTTTGCGAACAGTTCAATACGCGTTTTCAATTTCCTCGAGTTTCATCACATAGCGACGGTCTATAGGAAGCAAGGGAATCAGACTGCGTAAGAACGCAGACGTTTCTCCAGTTCAACGAAGAACAGTGGCACTCGGTTCAGCCGAGAGAGAAAGAGAGAGATTCGTCACAATGACTGCTGTGATTCTACGAAAATCACATCGGTGATGGTTACAACGACAAAGTAGCGTGGTATCACCGATAGGTGACGTCGTAACATTGGATTTTGAAGATTACCTACATAACTGACAAGTCGTTTCAGCGGCTTAACAGGTGCGAACAGCCTGTGCTGTGTGTATACTTGACTTTTCATAACATCTTGAAAAGAAGTTGGCATGGCTTCGGGAATATTGCAGGTAAGCTTTGCAGAATTCATGTACAACTTGAATTGGTTGTCTTGCCGGTTGGAAGAAAAATATTCTGTATTTGGATAATACGAGAGATGTTGGCAGATTTATAAAGCAATCGATGATTTTACAGAAAGCTATAGAACTTGTGACAAAGGCCACAGAGGAGGATCGTAATAAGAACTATGAAGAAGCTCTGAGGTTATACGAGCATGCTGTTGAATACTTCCTACATTCGATCAAATGTATGTCTGACAATGAGTTTAATAATATCTAGTATTAAGAAAATATTTTATGACTTAACTTAATATGGTGCATTATTCTGATGTTTAATATACATAAAAGTAACAATACTTGTATGAAGTTACCATAATGAATATCTTTAACAATTGATATTAGACGAGACACATGGAGACAGAGCAAAGGAAAGCATAAGAGCAAAATGTGTGCAGTATTTAGAGAGAGCCGAAAAATTAAAGGCTTATTTGAAGAAGAGTAAGAAGAAGCCGGTTAAAGCTGGAGAAGATAATTCTAAGAGTGAAGATAAGAAAAGCGACAGTGGTGACAGTGATACAGATAGTGATCCTGAAAAGAAAAAATTACAGAGCAAATTGGAAGGAGCTATAATCATCGAGAAGCCAGATGTCAAATGGAATGATGTGGCTGGTCTTGACGGAGCCAAAGAAGCTTTGAAGGAAGCAGTTATTTTACCAATTCGTTTTCCTCATCTTTTTACTGGAAAACGTATACCTTGGAAGGGTATCCTATTATTTGGGGTAAGCAATTTAAAATCTAACAAATTTAATTACATGCAGTTCAATTTGATTCAAAATATTTTTTATGTATTTTTAATTTATTATTTAGCCACCAGGTACTGGTAAATCATATTTGGCAAAGGCAGTAGCGACAGAAGCCAACAACTCTACTTTCTTCTCTGTATCATCGTCGGATTTAGTAAGCAAGTGGTTAGGAGAGTCGGAAAAACTTGTAAAAAATTTGTTCGAACTAGCACGACAACACAAACCTAGCATTATATTTATTGATGAAATAGATTCACTTTGCTCGTCACGTTCCGACAATGAATCAGAATCCGCAAGAAGGATAAAAACAGAATTTCTAGTTCAGATGCAAGGTATGCTTAAAAAGATCAATAATAGTATCTGCATCGTTTGCTTGTCCTTTGCCTATGAAGTAAATACGAATAAAAATTGTTCTACTGATGTTTTGTCTGCGTCTGATAGGTGTAGGATCCGATAACGATGGTATACTTGTGCTGGGTGCAACCAACATACCTTGGGTCCTGGATTCTGCGATCAGACGACGATTCGAAAAGAGGATTTACATTCCATTGCCCGAGGAACAAGCACGGGCTGTCATGTTTAAGATTCACTTGGGCAACACATCGCATTGTTTGACGGAAGAAGATTTTAGGAAATTAGCGGCCTCTACCGAAGGTTACTCTGGGGCTGATATAAGCATTATTGTACGAGATGCTCTAATGCAGCCAGTCCGACAAGTGCAAACGGCTACGCACTTTAAGCGCGTTAAAGGGCCGTCACCGAAGGATCCTTCCATTATCGTTGATGATTTACTCACTCCATGCTCCCCTGGTGATCCAGCTGCTATAGAAATGAGTTGGATGGAAGTAGAGGGTGATAAATTATACGAGCCACCAGTTACCATGGTAAGGGTAGTTTATAAATATAAATATGACTTGACTCTTTTCCATTCCTTCTTTTCTACATGATGTGGTTAAAAAGTTTCAGGACTGTGGGGGGGGGGGGACACAAAAAAGTTTATAGTAAGCCTTTTTGTTGCTCTTAATGTTCTATGTAATCCCCATGGCATTAAATACAATCGGTAAGATGACAATGAATGTCTGAAATACGTTTTGGAATTCTTTTGATATTTTGATCACACATTTTTCAATATCCTTCAATCGCTTCTTTTTTAATTAATTAAATTTTGAGGAATAATTGGTAATTGGCTGGAATCTGGTCGGAACCTGCTTGACTACTCTTTTTGTTCCCCAAAATTAAATTGTGCTTAACAGAGGAGCGATTTGAGGATATTGAGAGAATATTGAGGACATCCAAGTTTGATCCATGAATTGAAGAAGATATCAAAAGATTTTCGATACGCTTTCTAGACATTCCATTGTTATCTTACCGAATGTATTGAACGTCATGCAGATTATGTAAAACATCATGTCAAAAGCAATAAAATCTTGTTATAAACTTTGGGTTTTTTCATTGATTCAGTCGTCGAACTTTTTCGACACTGCGACCATTACGTTTGCTATACGCCTACAAAATTATTTTAATATTGTTGTCTAATTTTTAATATATTGTATTGCTGTAATTTTTTAGAAAGATATGTTGAAATCGCTAGCAACGACCCGTCCTACAGTGAACGAGGAGGATATGACAAAGTTAGAGAAATTTAAGGAAGATTTCGGTCAAGAGGGTTGAGGGATCCTTAAACTCTCTTGTAATCAAGTAAACAGATTTTTGATTCAACGAATATCTTTAGTTATACACGCTTGCCTTATTCCTTTAATATTTGACACTCGACAGTGTCTGCATGAAAAATATGCTCGGAAACGAGTTTATTACTCTTTTGTCGCCTCTTTACTTTCAATTTTTTCTTTTTCCAAACGCGACACGCAAAGTGGATACAATCTGGCATCGTGAGCTTATCGCTTGTTTACTTAGCGAAAATAATACATAACTATAACTATATATATTACTAAATAAACTATATATATTTTGAGATAAAAAATTCTTAGATTTATCAAACAGTTAGAGACGAGAGATAGATTATTTTTTATTATAAAGTGCAAAGTAGAAAAAAAAATGTTGGTGACATGTTTACGCGAGGTATGGCAAATTCTGTGTTTAACGCATCACTATATAATCACTATGATATGTACCTAACAAATTAATTGTACATCATATAGATTTTGCAGTTACTTCCTAACCACCTTTGATTATGATTTTAAAGCGTTCTCATGTATTATTCGATTATTTAAATTCGGGACTGGGCTTACCAGTGATCGCGCTCGCGAAAAATTGGAATCGAATCGCATGGCTAGCCGATTTAAAAAAAGTTGGCTAATTGAAATCGCGGTAAGATAGCGCGAAAATATTATGTAATATATAATACATACGTATGCACTACTGATAATCAGAATGCTGTTTTCATGTAAATTGTTTTTATTGTTAACTAAATAAATAACAAGCTGTATACTGATTTACAAATAGATGATTTACAGCAGTATCGAAAAATAGCGAGAAATTGCGACAGCTTTAGGGAGGACAATGCCTAAGAAATTCCGAATCCATGTAAACAATTGTTACGGTGATGTCGTCGCGAAATATCCGTACCACTTCGCTCGGCAGAGTTAACAATTGCGACAACTTGGCGTGATCTATTCCGTATTCTGTTCCACCGAGAGCGTTCCTTAGTAAATGCGTCGCCGCATTGCTGTCGAGAGGTTTCTTCTTCAAGCCTTCCTTGCGTTGCAGCAACATCTCGTTTATGTCCGACAATTTCATATTTTTACGGGGTAATCTCAATGGACTGAGCGTAACTTTGCCGCTCATATGTTCACCCACCAAGCGCACAGCTTGCAAGGGCGAAATAAGATCCCACAATCCATCACTGGCAATTATGAGAAATTTGTCCCTAGGTGTCAGTCTGTGATACCTGACTTCTGGATTGGCCGTTAGGTATGGCGGCGTATGATAATTCGACGGAATCGCCGTCTCCCCGAGAACCGGCACCACGACTCTCTTCATGACGTCTTTACTCCACTTGTAGCGAAAATCCCCTAGCGAGCGAAGCGGCGCCAATTGTCCGAGCAGTCTTTCCATTTTAATTACAGTCGATCTCTCGTTTGACGGATGCTCCGATAAGATTCTTTCTACCTCAGTGCGATTATCAGCGTTATGTTCTACCGTCATCATTTTAGCTGACCATCCATCGTTTTCTAAACAATAATGACGTACAATTCATTAATGCGCGTGCATCATTTTTTAATACTACATACGACAAACAAAAAAAATAACGAAAGAGCACGGAACCTGACAGTACTCCTAAAACGGCTTTACAATCACCGACACCAGCGACGTGCAGATGAGGGCCATCTATGTGCGCCACAGCAGCCACCGCACCCGACATTGCGACAGCGAGAGTTCTCGCCGCGTCTTTCCTATTCAGTTGTAATAGAGCTTCATTCGACAGATCATTGTCCAATCTGAGAAACGCATTTTCTAGAGCCCTTTCCATTTGAAACTCTTTTCGGGTATCCGATTGTAGCAAGTCTTTTACAAAATTTAAAAAACTAGCTTGGTAAAGATCTCTGATCTCGGCTACAAATTCTACTTTGTCATTGAAGGTTTCAAGTAATGCTAAGTTTCTGTCGGAACCAATGGAATTCAAGTATTGCTGCAGCAATTTTGGTGGTAATAAGCATGCCGATATATAATGGAACAGTCTTTTTGACACCACTTGTGCACAAGCACCACCACCATGACCATCGAAAACACCCAATAATATACCTATGAATAAGAGATTGGAAATTTTATTATTGCAAGTGCATCTGCGGACATCTGTAAGAATTGATTCAAATTATCGAAATCACCTTGTACACAATTTGTATTATTTGCCATCACTTTTTATTAGTTTTTATTGACTGATAAAATGACCAAACAATTGATTCGAGCAAGAAATTCACAAAGTGAGTATTTCTAAAAAATCAATCAGTTTTCCTTTTATACTATACCTTTTGTCAACAGACATTGAGCCTCCGATCGTGTATCTTCTATAGGATTATTCGATGCCAACTGATTGGAATCATAATATTTTATAGAACTCGAACCAGAGAATTCTTTAGTATACTCGTTAGCTTGCAAAACGTTTGTGACCTGTGACAAAACGACACGTATGATACGCGTGCACGAAAGAGAATTGATTTAAACTTGATAACTTTTACCTCTTGCGGTGTAAGTCGTGGTAATGCCATGTACAATCGCTGGAAGCTCCTGTTACCGCGAGGTTCGCTCGTTCGTATGCACACATGTCGGAAACTTTTTACGAAATCACAGCCAACTTTTTGCAAGACCATCCTATTCTCCGAATCTCACGCAATTCAGCACCGTGCTAATAATCCTCCTTTCCGCCGCTTTTCCAACACATTTTTCATTTCTCTTATAGGTTAGAGATATTAAAATAAACAATAGCGATTCTCAAATATACGTAAAAATTGGTGTTCCTTGTATCGTGTACAATTTACGTTATGAGTGTGATCGTTTTTCTAGTGTTAATTCGTGCACATAAAATTCATAGCTCGTTTGATAACATCGACGAAAGTAAAATATCGAGTATGGTTCCACTGCGAGAGAGCTGTCGAGAACTCTATATAAGAACGACCGAAAACGACGAGAATCAGCAAGAACGGACACGCGCCGTTGTCTGCATCGGTCATGGAACTTAAAAGAGTTGAGAAGGGAAACATCTCTCTCCGTGAATATATACTTTGCATTGAAAATTCTTCTTTAACAAGTCTGAAAAAGAGCGATATTCCCTAGCATTTGAGTGTTTCACAGTTTGCGCTACTGCACACGTCATCGGCGTTCAAAATTGAAAATTGTAGCGTGACGCTAACGGCTTTCTGTGTGTCTGATTTAGTGGCGAGATTGTTCGTAAAGCTGTGTTGTTCTTTTATTCATTTTCCTGCGCTTGTGCGACGAAACTCACTTTGAACAAAGCGTTCATGTATGCTGAATAAAAGGAGTATCGTTGGAAACGTTTGAAAGTTCTCGAAGCAACGGCTGATAGTGTCAGCGGCATCGGCGGTGCCGCGATGTTATGACAATGTAAGCTACTTATTGTTATTTTCCTTTTTTATTCGCCATAAAGCATGATATTGAGATCTACAAAGCTCACAAATTAATAAAAACTATCGATATTTAGGTATTTGTAGCTTACCACGTCGAAACGATGGTTTTCAACAAGAAAGACTTCGGCAAGGCGTACTCGCCGAATAAAGTCAGGAAAGCGGAAAAGAAATTGTTATCGACTGTTAGATCGGCCAAGCCGAGCACAAGCGGCATTACGGCTGTAAAAACCGATGATTCTTCCGAAATATCGATTAAGGTGATTGTAAGAGTACGTCCCCACAATGAACGTGAGCTGCAAGATAATAGCAGAACAGTCATCGAAGTTGTGGATGACAGAATGCTGATCTTTGATCCAAAGGAGCAAGCAACGCCTTTCTTCTTTCACAATGTGGCGCAGAAGGGCAGAGATATGCTGAAAAGACAAAACAAACAGATGCAATTTATCTTTGACAGGATCTTCGACTCTACATCCACCAATGTTGATGTGTTTGAGGGAAGCACCAAAAGTTTAATTAGTAGTCTTCTGGAAGGTTACAATTGCTCTGTGTTTGCTTATGGCGCGACTGGTGCTGGTAAAACTCACACTATGCTAGGAAACAGAGAAGATCCTGGTATTACATATCGTACTGTGGCAGAATTATTTTCCGAAATTGAAAATCAGAGTAAACATCGTGAATTTAATTTGGGTGTATCTTACCTAGAGATATATAACGAGAATGTACAAAACTTGCTGCACAAGACTGGTCAGTTACATCTGAGGGAAGATGGTAGATGCGGAGTTGTGGTTGCTGGATTAGAACCAATCGCTATCCAAAGCGCTGAGGAATTATTGTCACTATTGGCAGAAGGTAATAAGAATCGTACTCAACATCCGACAGATGCAAACAAGGAGAGTAGTAGAAGTCATGCAGTTTTCCAAGTATATATCAAGATGATCAATAAGCTGGATAGTCAAGTGCAGCGAGTCAAATTGTCCATGATCGATTTAGCGGGATCCGAAAGAGCTTCAGCAACTGGATGTAAAGGCGTAAGGTTTAAGGAAGGTGCTAACATCAACAAATCCTTATTGGCTCTTGGAAATTGTATAAATAATCTTGCGGATGGTATAAAACATATTCCGTATAGAGATTCCAAGCTTACTAGGTTACTGAAAGATTCACTCGGCGGTAATTGCCATACCGTTATGATAGCTAATATTGGTCCCTCCAGCCTTACCTATGAGGACACGTATAATACATTGAGATACGCGAATCGGGCAAAGAAGATCAAATCAAACGCCAAGAAGAACGTGTCTTGCGAAATGCACGTCGCTGGTTACATCAAGATAGTTGAGGAACAGAAAAAGGAAATAGATATTTTGAAATCAAAATTAGCAGCTTTTGAGAATGGCGCGTTGCAATCGACATTGGAAAACAAGCCAAATAAATTGTTGACGGATGTACACTGCAAACTGGCAAAATTCTACGATCAGAAAAAAGATTTGATTGAGAAGATGTTGGCCTTGGAAAGTTCTGATAAGATATTAGCCTGTAGAATACTTTACAAAAAGGATGCGGATGAAAGACTTCACAACCTGACAGCAGCTAATGATGTTTTGTTGCCAGAAGAACAAAACGCCAGTGGAAAGTTGCGCATTAACAAGTCTGTGCACCATTTCCAACGGCAAAGAGATTCTCTTAGAGTGCAAATGGAAGAAACATGGCAAGAATTATGTTCGATTGAAATGGAGATACAGGAGATAACTGCTTCTCTGAAAAGCGAACCTCTTGATGAGAATCTGCAAAACAAACTGTCTTTACAAATTTCTGGGATTGAGAAATGTTGGATTTCCGGAATGCAACAACATGTGATGAAGCTCGGTGGTCTTATGCAATGCGAGAGGCACTCGATCAACACTATAACAAAAATGATGAGTAAAACTTTGCAGAATTACTATAATATGGTGAAAGGTTACGGAACAATGACTGATAAGATGCAACTAGAGTTTAAAGAATTAATCAAGTTGCTCGAAGGTTTTCGAAATATTAAATGGTCCGATTCGGACATGGTGAACACTGCGGAAGATTTCAACGTCTTCAATTGTTTAAGTATGGCTGGAATGGATCCGTTGAATAATCCTATTCCAATAATTGTGACAGCATTGGAAACGAATGAGGAAGAACGTGATACTTGCAGTACAAATGTTTTGAATTGCACTTTCAATGCTGCGCCAAATGATAATAATATCGATAGTACCTTCAACATAGAGGATGAAAATAGTAGTCGTGAAAGTAATGAACAGAATGACAAAACTTTGAAGGAAGCTCCACGTGAGAAATCTGCCATAAAAGGAATAGCTAGAAAGCGTATATTGTCCGATAAAAATAGTGAAAACGACAGCACACCATCTAAGCAGATAAAGAAGCCTGGAACAACTAATAAAATGATTGTACAGAGTAATGATCGAATGGGCAAGGAGAACATGAATAGACAGAAGCCTATGAGTGCAAAGAATATCGCTATTTTGAATAAATTAAAGAGCAATACGCCTAATCTCATGTCGCTTTCATCCCGATCTAATAATAACCAAGAAGGGACAGATCTGGCTCTTAAGACGATGCGAAATAAAGAAAGACGCGGTCTTATGACAACGCATCCATATTATAAACCAATTGCGGGAAAAAAGTAAGTAATTGAGAAGATTTAATATTCCGATTATCATTTTTATCAGAATAATGACTAGTACTCTTCTGTGCGCGCGCACGTACGCACGCACAGAATATACATATATATTTTGTCTATTTATATAGTAATTGTTATTTATTATAGACCTGCTCCAGCCATACCATCTACTAGAGTTCCCTGGTAATGTCAGACAAAAATTTGGTACCTGTATCTTTTGGACGCAAGATTCGGAGGATGTAATGATGAGTTGTAAAGATTACGTTAAATAATAAGAATTCTAACAAGAGTCTAGCGAAGAAACCCGAGTGAAACGTATGTAGTTAAATTATCAATTTGATTACTTTTATCTTATATAGCGATACTATTGACTATATGCTTAAAGTAAAGTCAATCGTTTTAATAAATTGACTTGAATACAATTCTATATTTTTTAACTTAATAAAACTTAAAAAAAAAAAATATATATATATATATGAATATGATTGTGCAAGCAATATATTTCTGTACATCACAAAAGTCAAAATTTAACAAACAAATTTTGTAGTTTGTATTTAGTCTACATTATGCGTTTGTATATGAATTATATTTTATAAAGGAAACTCAAATCGGCGCGAAGCTTGCGAATGCAAAGCGGAATATTGCGTAATCTTCATTTTATTAATTTCTCGTTTTTGTAAAACTACATTGTTCCGTGTTGTGTTAAACTATACAATCTGTCGTTACATTTTCCCTAACACACTGTGTACGACAGAGTTACATTTAGAGATTTACATTGGACAACTATTGACAACTACAAAAATTAAATTAGGTTTTATATGTGCTAATAAGATACGACTTTACAGAGATTCTGTTGTGTCGATTACCTGTATGTATTCTTAAGAAAAAAAAAACAAATTATTTATAGATTTATTATTGCGTTAAAATCGCTTGTACAATGACAAGCAACAGAAATTGTTATATAGAGAGTCACATGTAAACGGCAAAAAATTTAATGAGTATGTTATTAATTACTTCCTTTCTAGATCCTCGTTGAGATTTTCCTGAAAGTGCGCGCATCGTTATATCATGCCATTTTACTACTATTTTTCACTTAATTTAGAGTACTCACGTATTCTCGCAAGGCACGTGACGACGTGTGTCGAAAATTCCGGCAATATCACGTCGGCCATGGTTGATTGTCGGCCACTGACTATCGTTGGCAAAATTGATCTTGAACGATCAAAAAGCGAAGCGAATGATTGCAGTAAAAACGCCAAAAATGCTAATGACGCCACCACACTGATGGGATCAAAAGTGCTAAAATGCATGTCATTTGTCATGTCGTTGACTATTGTCACGACTGATGGACTACGATTGACTATTGACTAATTACGGCAACACTTACGGATAATAAGCTGGTGATGCGGACAAACAAATCCACTGTGATAACTGCGCGCAAGATTCGATTGTTGCCTGCCGTAATTTTGAGAATTCGCATAAGGTAGAAACGATATGCTCTTGGACTCCGTCTTGTACGTATCCGATAAGTAACATAGAGGCGGATTTCTGCAAGATGGTACTTGGCTTATAGCGTCTGGTCTTGTTTGTCTTTGTATTTCACATAGAATGATGTCGAATGCACCAAGGAGCAATACAATCTTCAACATTTTTCTCGTTCTTAGAAGACCATTTAAACTTTGAATGATTATATCAGATTTATATCAGGTCTTTATATTATATGTTGGGATAAAACAAGAAAGACACATTAAAACATTTTAAGAACAAAATGCTTGTTATAATATTTAAGGGTACAAGCATTGCCGTTTTAGCGTGATATACACTATGCAGTTGAAATTTCTATTTTGCATCTCGAGAATAAGGCGCGACTACACATCTTCGTAACACGCGTTCGAATATATCTATATATATAGATATATGTAAATATCGCAAAAGAGATGATAATACTTCTTTCCGGTCGATTCTTGACACGTTCCAATTGTTGATATTTTCTTTAAATTATGAAAAATTCGAATTTGATTACGGATAATTCAATTTTGATCTCGCTGAAACTGATGCGTTTCTTCTGCAACGAGGCGTAAAATTATGCACGGCAAATTGACATGTTAAGTAGGACACCGTTTACAGAAAGCACAGAAGAAAAAGAACGAGAAATACAGCTAGTAAAAAGAAAGATTTGCACTTGGTTTGTTTCTACATTATATTCAAAGTTCAATTTTTATTGTCACATCTGAGATTTAACAAGTTTTTAACAGCTTCCTTGTATTCATTGACTGAATACTGATCTTCGCCCTTATTTACGAGATCCGAAACAGCAATTTTATACTCAGTTACATGTGGGATAGTCTCATAATCATAACTGGTTGGCGATTTCGGCCATTTGTATAGAGTCACTGCATTTGTACGACTTTGACTGGTATCCCAATCAAAATATTCCATGTCTGCTATGGATTTTTCAGCTTCCCAAGGCTCAACTCTCTGCAAGCAAAGTTTTGTAGCAATATTCATGAATAGTGTGAGATAATTAAATAAATAAAAGCTTCAACTGTGTATATTTATTTACAGTTCTCACTGATAATGCTTACCCAAGATTCATGATACACTGCTGTGAGGAGATAACGTGCGTATTCTAAATTTTGCTTTCTAGTTGGGCATCTATCGGTTGTAATCGTTATTATATCTGTCTCTGGATTATACTTGTTTCCTAATAATCTCAATAACTTATCTTTTGCATGAGTGTCTAAGTGAAGAGAGGATAATTTCACTTGTAAACTCACAATTCTAGCGAGTGGATCTCTAATCGTGGGTGAAGAATAACAATAGTCGGATGTAATAATCTCAACAGGGAAATGTTTCGCACATTTCTCTTCGTTTTCCAAAGCTGTAGGCCACTCCGTACAAAACTGTTTCAATGCTTCGCAATGTCTTTGAATTGCAGGTGGTGTAAGATGTAAAAAGTTTGGTATTTTCATGAGCTCAGCATTAGCGTATTTACCAGGCGGTGCACCCTTTTCTTTGTATCCTTGATGCAACGGAAGAGGTATTGAAGCAGGATGAAAGGTTCGCGTACCCGGCCAGACTGATGGCCAGTCCTGATCAATAACCATTTCTGTAGTTCTCGGTGGTGGGACATTGATTTGTCGTGTTTTCCGCTTTTCCTGTGTAGCTTTCTTCTGCGAATAAAGCTCTAACACTCGAAATTCTGAAACAAAGATACATGTCTTTTGCTCTTGACATAAGTTAGAGTGTACAACCGATACTAACGTTCCTCGGTGTTTGATTCTGAGGCAGTTGAATATATTGCAAGCTTCAGTGTTTTCGATAAACTTTGCGAAAGTTTCGTCTCGAATAAACGTCTTGACAACAACATTTTTGCATACTAAAGGAAAACAGTCATGTAATTTTATAAAAACATTGACTGATGTTATACCAGATAATGTAATGTAACTTAACCTAACTGTAATTCTAACCTACAAGAAGGATTAGAAGAAAGTAGCAACATAAAAAAAGATTGTAGATAATTCCCTGACAAACCAAGAAATTGATGACAACTTAAGGAGGACACTAGACAAAAACCCCTAACATGTAAAAAAAGATGTGCAATATTAATTATATTATAATTATAATCAAGTATGTATGTATTACGCTACAATAATTGCTATCGTAATTATAATAGAGTCAAGGTTTGTAATTTTTTACATATATTTCAGAATCAATCAAATGTGCATGTTTGTGGATGTAATCTCCAATTATCCTAAGATTTAGTCTTATTAACACTGTTGTTAAGAACAAGTTCCACAAATAAAATTTTTTATAGACTATCTTGAACTTTATGCTCTTACTTAAACTTATTTGGAGATGGAATATTTCAATGTATAGAAATAATCAAAGATACTATGAGGGTTTTATTTTTATTAATATAATTCTTCTACACAAGGAAAATTAACTTGTTTCTCAATGAGTAAAATAAAAAATGTCTCCTTACCTTTTTTTGTTTTGGTAGTCACACAAGAAAAAATAAGACAAACGACGTAAATATTATAAAATCTACAGACAGGCTTTTTACGACATAAGTAATACTAAATACATAAAGTTTGGTCTCCTTTCTGGCTAAGGACTCGCATAACTCGCACGCGATAATTTACATTAAAGTACAACTTTCATCTAAAGCGCAAATAATATTTGCTATATGTTTTTAATAAATATTGCATATTGCAAACAATGCATATGTTGTTATATATAAATAACATGAGAGAGAGAGAGATAGAGAGAGAGAGAGAGAGAAGATGCTAATCTAATTGTTTGTGGAGTGATGAATAATATAATCTTATTATTATGGATTGACAGAGCGATTAACAATAAAATACTTAAAATGCTGTGTTTCTTCGACCCTCTATAACCCAATTATTATTATAAAATCTTTTCTAACGTACATCTTGTATTTCTTAAACAATAAATAATTGACATACTACTGTTTGATTTTGTTCGAGACAAAATCATCTTCGAAAATTGATTAATCTCTGTTGAGGCGCAATGTCTTTCAGTGTAATTTCTCTCAATTCGCCTCTACAAAAATCTAGCAAAATCTAGCATTATTAAAGTAATTGATATTATTTAAAAGTTACGCTGGGTTATATAGGGTTAAAAAAATAACTACCGGCTTATATAAAAAATGCTAATCATTCGCACAATCTGTATACATAATATATAATCTATTGTCGCGCAGAATGCCGTTACATTTCGATACTTGGTAAAAACAATATATGTATATATATGTAGTGATATCGTCATATTTTTACATATAAAACGATAAACTGGATAATCTTTTAGTAGCCCCACAAAGGATATCCAATATAAATAACGGTAGGCTTGCGAAAATTAAATGGACTCACTGGAAGTACGTCTAAAATAGACTGAAAAGTAGACCGAAATCGAGTTATTTACAAAGATGTGAAATCAATGCTATATACAGGAATGACAATTCCTTCCATGTGTCGATGCATCGACCGCCAAACTTGACAAAATGACGAGGCAACAAAATATGAACAGTCAATATCTCTCATCTTAAATCTTAAGTAACAATACGGAAGATAGGCGGATCATAGAATATTATCGGTACATATGTAAGTACAGCGATACGTTCGTTTCGCGCATGTATCTCTCTCTCGATTACAAATTGCAGTTTATTCTACACTCCATTCCATCTCTATTTATTCTAGCACGGCCAACAGTGTGTTTTACATATATCTACATATGCATATATATATGTGTAAAACACACGGTACAATCTTTTTATATTAATAATATTATATTGTATATTAATCGTTTCTTAATATTGACCTCTCTTTTGTCCATTTAGAATGAGGCTATTTAGTCTGTAATAATCGTGAACATTAGTTATTTATGATGTATCTTCAAAGAACGGATATGAGGATGTTTCAAGTACAGTTGGATGCTTCTCGAATGCTTCTGTCCTGAGATATTTTCGTTATTCAACATGCTTGTGCATCGCTCAACTTTTCAAATTTGAATATTCTTGCAAGATTTTCGCGTGAATGGACTCATTCATAAAAAAAATAAAGTTTCTTTAACTTTGTTAAAAATTTAGATAATATAAATGTTGGACGCGCGCGCGCGTGTGTGTGTGTGTGTGTGTGTTATAAGAGCAAATGCTGTATTAAATGCGTATATTAAGTAATTATTAATTAAAAAAAAAATCATCAAAAATTTCAAAAAATCACATGCTTTGTAAACGCGTTTTTATTGATCAACGTCACGATACAAGAAATAAGTTTGCATTACAGGAAAAGTACAATGGTAACAATCGCATGTGATTGACTACATTGTTAAATCTACCAATATAATGGAAATTATATCGTATCGTGACGTGACGATTAAACGGCGGTACTATTCCAATGCTTCTTATTTTTAAGTCATTGATACATTGTTGTTACAGTTTTCTCGCACGTATAAATATTTGTTATATCTGTCATTATTAAAACTTACAATTTTGTTTGTAATAATAAAAAAAAAAAAATTAAATCCAATAAAAAATGAGTCCCATTAAAAAAATTAAATGTTACAAACCCAAAATAACGTAAAATTACGATCGGTACAATTACAGTCAGCAATTTTTTGATCGCACTAAGTAATATTACATCGTACTTAAGAGCTACTGGCATAGAGTCCTGAGACAGTTGTCCGCTTGTACCAATCCTTATGATTCTCTTAGTATCTTTTTAATGGATATATCAATTATTTCATATTTGTATCAATAGATATATCAATTATTCTCAAATAATAATATTTCAAAACGTATTCGATACGTTTACTTGTTTCAGAGCGTTTCAGGTGATTTAAATTTCAATAATTTAATTTTCCTTGGAGACAACTATAAGCTATAGCTATAAGAGAAGAAAAAAAATCGATAATAATGATGTAAATATTGTAAAAATGTCTTTGTCAATTAAGAAGCATGAATATATTCGTTCTTTGAAATAAATTAGTCCCGTTTAATCTTCTACTTTGCATACTGGCACTTTGCCTACTCGTTATACAAAAATAACGAAAGCATTCCAGTCTCATAACATATACGCCACGTTATTTAAAATCTAATTCGCACATATCAATTTACAAGGAAATAGTTTAAAACGCCCTGGGTCAATGATAATATTTTCTCGCGTCGTCTTTATCGTCAAATTTTTAACATTATCCTTAATTTCGATACATTGCACTTAATACATATATTGATGTGTAGTCCCTTTATATATTTGGTAATCGCCAAAAAACTACATATACGCTGTTTTCCTATTTCACATACACATGGGTGTTATCAAATCCGCATTAAAATTGATTAAAATTAATTGATAATTATGCCTTCAGAGAACGAACGGACACAAATCATGTCAAAAGACAGTCTCTCTTTTCGTCTTAGTTCCAGTTGGAGTACACTCGATACACATGATACATATTTCGGTTATTCGTGTATCCTCGACACAACGACATTGCGCGTAGAGCATATAGATGAGTGCAATGATCTTTCATCTTAACAACTACTTATTATCAGCAGGAGCTTGCGACACATTACACGATCATTCTACTATTCACACGCGGAATAATACCATGTACATTATAGTGCATTATGATGCAATAGAAAACACTTAGTCATAAGGCATCGAATCGATTCGTGCTCCATTTACTTTGTTAAACTGTCGATAAACCGGGAATAGCACGAGACGTAATAAACACTACTCTGAAAGCGAAAGATCGAATAAGTAATTTCGTGAGCAATAAGCTCCAGCTTTGTTATTTAGTTCGTACAAAACGATTCAAACGCCAACGAGCATTTATTCGTATGTGTGCTACGCTGACGACAAAAAAAAAAGAATTATTTCGTTATGCGTAATGTGTTATTATTATTAGACTATTTTTGAGACTAATTATTCATCACTCATTACAATGTAAAAATCGCGCGGCTATTCCGGGTATAACAGTATATTCATGCATTCGCAACTACTGTCTCTTTATCTAAAATCGAGAGTACGCACAATATATTAAATAGTTTTAATTTTATTGCTAGTTAAGTTGACTGAGATTCAAATTTTGTCACATAAAATGTGAAATTATTCTCGTTAAAAAAAAAAAAAAA